ATCCAGCTAAGTTCAGAAGGAGCGTCGTAGGTCATACCCCCGTGCCTGTGTTGATCTGGAGGAATGGGGGTCTGTGTGATAGTGTTTTCAAAGATCGGTACTCCTCAGAGCGGCACAGCTGAGACCAGGACGTGTGCTAAGTACAGGGTCAGTTTTCAAGAAAACTTATGATCACTGGTCCACTTCCCTGTTGACCTTAGTGATACAAGAGTTCTGCCAAGTTAGATGGAAGAAGGTTAACCTTGACTGAGGTCATGTGTGGGGTCACAGGGCTAAGTGAGCAGACAACTGAGACTCCATCCCAGCCCTTGCTCCTGGAGACTCAATGGCTTTGTCTTGGTGGTGGTCGGGGTGGGGCAGGCCTGGGGACCAGAGTCCCAGCTGAGCCTTCGTCAGTCAGGCAGGCCACTCAACCAAATGGGGATAATCCTGGCTTCCCGGGATATAGTGGGATAAAGTATGTGAGATCATTATGGCAGGTACAAAGATGCTAACAGAATAGAAATCATGATTTGAGGCTTCTGCTGAACTTTAAGTAATACTCCGTTATCAAGAAACTGGCAGGAATTGCTCTGAGTCTGGTGTCAGACTACAACCAAGAATCAAGGTTGCTCAGATAGGTCTGTCAGATCGCTTGCAGGGAGACGTCATAGATCTCTTTAGATAATTTTTTTTTTGAAAAAAGATTCCTTTATCTTTCAAAGTGGTGGTAACAAACTTGACGTGTACTGCTGAGTGCGATGCCAGGAGTCACTTAGGCAGTGACATTACAGTTGACCTTTCAGCCAGGATCAGAATCCCTGTGGGTGGCCCATGGAGTGCCGCGCTCTTGATTCTAACCCTTTACATATGACTCAAGGACGGTGCATAATGGGCGCAAAGGCCCCACTGTCACATTTTCCCTGGAGGCAAAGGATGACAAAAGAAAGGGTGTGCCCGTGTGTGCTATGTGTGCCTGTGTGTTTGCGGGGGCAGTGGAGGACAGCTTGTAGATGAGCTGGTTTATTCTATAAGAATTCAGTCTCCAGTTCTTTCTTCTGATGGAGCTAGTCTGAATCAATGTCCTCTGATGCAACAGGGGCTGAATCCTGCTAAAGGGTTAATCAGAACTTGCCTTTAATGAGACGGGTGTGTAGGGCTGGCCCTGGCCAAGCGAAGCCTGTGATGGAGAACAGGCTATAGCAGACAGGGGGGGTCTTTGGCTGGAGTCTGAAAGCCTGGCACTGGCGTCCGAAGATGAATGGCCTGGCCCGGTCCCGACTGGAGACGCACATCTCTTATCTCCACTGTTACAGTGTATGTTCGGGGGAGTGTTCTGGCGTCTGTCTCTGCTTTCTCTGGTGCTGAGAGCCGGCGGCTCCCGGTGTGTCTGACAGAGCTAGCTTAGGAAGGCAGCCAGCATGGCATCTCATGCACCCAGGTAGGGAGAACTCACCCTAACAGTGGGTGAGAGAAAGGAAGGTAAATGAATATTCATATCTGATGTTAAAATACCATAGTTTTATGCTATTGCTTCAGAAATATTTAGAGAGATTTTATAGTTTGTTTTTGTTTGTTTGTTTGGGTGACCTAATCATTCTATAGAGTAAATATCTATAAAATTCCAATTAAATGGTGTCTAAAATTTAAAGCAGCAGTCTACAGGCAAAGCGCCAACGTTTCTTTTTTTAAAAGATATTTATGATACCATCTAGCATTTAAAAATCAACCAGAAACTAGGCTTGATTCTGTTTAATATTTTATATGATTGGACATCTTAAATCAAAAATGTTTCTATTTTATAGCAATTCTGTGTTTATTCAAAACCATAATTCTACTGTGATGTTAATGGAATGACTATACAGCTTTCATTGTGTTGGTTTAAGTGCTAAATGACCACGTTTCAAATTAAAGTAGTATTTTGCTGATTGAGGTAGACACCGATATGAAAAATGAAAGAACAGATCATTTTACTGGTTGTAAAGTGTTTATTTAAAAAAAAAATGTTGTTGTTTTTTTTTTTTTTTTTTTTTTTTTTTTTTTTAGTGGTATGAAAAAAAGTAATTTTTTCAAGAGTTTAAGATAGTTTTCTGGGATTGGAATTTGTGCCTATGGAAACTTTGGAGCAGCCTAAGCTACCTGTTAGCTTGATATGTGTGCTAGAAAAATTTCATTACCATGTTTTGTGATATGTAATAAATTCAGGGTGCTGTGCTTAAGCTTCATTTCAGTTCAAGTTTGGGAACATCTGTTTCCTTCATTCCCAGACCTAGCAGACACCCCACCTCCCATAGCCCCCCGCCCCGTCCTTCCCCAGATCCCATGTGAAAGAGTCAAGTCAGGCCCTGACTCGCAAAAGATGTGTTTCTTCCTGCGTGGAGCAAGCAAAACGTAACCATGATCTCTAAACCTCTGCTTTTGTGTCGAGGAAGGGTGATGCTTTCTATCCTCCTTTGATGTCTCTTTAATAAATATGTTGTCATTATTTGTCCTTGGAAGTGGCCTCTTGAGCCGCCTCTCAGTTTTCTCCATGATTTATGTTGCAAACAAATTCTCTGTCCTGTGTCTGTTCACCACTCTTTTGATCTTGTGTACCATTGAAGACATGCTGGAGACCGTTTTTGTTTTTATGATGCAATTATGTTATATGTGTATTTCAGTGAAATGTCAACCCGTCAACAGAGGATGATGTTAAAAATTATCCAAATAAATAGTTTTCTATTTCTTTTAATCAGACCCAGTCCAATCAGTTGAATGACAGTGAATAGGATTATCTGTTGTTTCTCAACCTCAGGAGTGTTCCTAGCCCGTGGTGCCTCGTGACATGCGTTCATATACATAATTTACCTGGGGCTACTGACTTAGTGCTTTGTCACCTATGTTTATTTTGTGGACAAGGCAGTGGGTGTCTCAAACCTGGTCTTTGACTTGGGAGCCTCAGATCTGTGATCGCCCTTTCCTCTCGGTGATCCAAAACCAGACGACGAAACCCTGACTTAGCTCACCTTCCCTTGATGACCGTGCTCTGGAAGACACTGAACGATTGAGCCGCAGGCTGTTCAATAGTGCTAGGCTTGACCTTCCTGCACATGCCTGCAGCTCCGTGTGAAAGAGCTTTCCCCCACTTGACATTAGAGTTGCCTTCTTGATGTTTCCAAGAGAATGGCAAGTGGGTCTACCTCCAAGCCAGATGATTCCCCTGGCTCAGATGTGCTGGCCCTGGGGATCTGAGAGAGGGAAAGTGTGTGTGTGTGCATATATGTGAGTGTGTTCGTGTCTGCATATGTGCGTGCATCTCATGCCTGTGGTCGGAGGGACAGGAGAGTGAGAGGCAGCCTCACTGACCATGCCGCAGACTGTTCCAGGTTTGGCCCCACGACATGTGTGTCTTTCCCCTACAAGACCACAGCATTCCTAGCCAAGAACCTGAGAGCTCTGAATCTGGCAGCTCTTTCATGCCCACAATTCACGAAATGGAAAGACCCCCTCCTCCTCTATCCAAGGAATGGATCAAACCAGACCTAGCCTGGTATACCGTTTTGAACAGCATCAACTCACGTGGATGAGGCTGTTTTCACAGGAGCCTCTTAGGAAGTTCCTATAGGACTTTACATCCTAAATTACTGTCACCACTGGCATCTGGAGAAGACCAGTTCTGAGCGTTCCCACACCAGGGGGGTCAGCCCTGTGGGATCTGGCCAGACGTGGCCACCACCCACTCCACCCCCTCCCCTCCCCACTCACACTGCTGGGGCTCATGAAGGAAGGGCCGGGAGGTAGGCCCCTCCCCCCAATGACCTACCTCTAGGCCCAGGGCTCCCCTGCTGACCACCCTGATGTGGAGTTTTAACTACAGATGCGGCCCCATACAGCTGGGGTTCGTGCTCCGGTGTGGCTGCTGAGTTGCAGAAGGACTGCCAGCAAATGAGGGGGTCCTGCCCAGATATAGGACAGGTGGGCTTAGGCCTGCTGGCAGGCAGGAAGTAAGTCTTTCTTTGAAAAGGGATAAAGTAGCTGTACTATCCCTATTAGTCTTTAAAGTGAGCATACAATTTTTCTTCAAGTTGATGGTCAAAATATAATTTTCTCAGAGCCAGCAACTCCACTTTCTCCATGTATAGCGTAAGCACCTGTAATGTTCTCCTAACAAAGTGGAGAACAACAGAAGGGCTCCTCCCAGGGCCTGTCCCCGTGGAACCCAGTGGAACCGGGGCCCAATATAAGGTAGGCCAACTGTAAGAGTCTCAGGAAAAGGAGTATGTCTGCGAGGGCCTAGGAGGGGTCACCTGGTGGGTCCTGCACAGCCTCCAGAGGCTGGTGAGCCCCTTTCAATGTGTTGTGGTCTTCAAGAGGATGATCCAACTGTTGGCAAGTTCTTGGTCTGACCCCAGGCTACAGGCCAGGGCACCACGGATGGCCATGGAGGCTGGCGCTGCACAGCGGCCCAGGTCTGTGTGTGTGTCGACCCATCTCGTCATGGTCCTGAGTGTGCTGGTGATTGTAGTGTGTGGTGTCACTCCCTTGTTCCCATGGCTTTCTAGCAGAACCGGTGGCCCTGATGGCTACTTGGTCGGCTTGCCCCCTTGTACTTGGACTTAGATCTCCTTATCCTGGACACAGCCAGTGAGTCCTTGTAGAATGGCCTGATTGTGTTCCTTGCCCCCTCTGGGGCTCTGGGAGAGGACTCTGCAGGCCATCCTTCTGTCATTTAGACATGAACATGTGCTCTTGACCACGGCAGACATTGCTCCCTACAAGTGCAGGTAATTGAGAAGGAGGTTACTGGGTTGAAGACCTCAAGCATCCCAGCCTAGGACCGTCTTGAATTCCTGATCACATCCTTCGACCCTGGGGCTTCAGGGACCCTTCAGTCACATTCACACGAGCAGTCAGTTCCCCAGGTTGCCTTTGGAGAAACTTCCCTTCCCACCGCTGAATCAGGCAGGAGCAAGAGCCAGGATCCAGGCCGGGCCCAGCGCATCCATGTTGTCTAATCCGTTTTGCCATTTGTGTTGATCTAGGCAGGATTAAGGACACTGCATGACATTGGGCCAGAAATCCGGCGTGCTATATCATGTGATTTGCAAGATGACGAGCCGGAGGAAACAAAACGAGAAGAAGAAGAAGATGTATTCAAAGTAATTATTCCACGCCTAGCTACACACTGGCCACTTGGAAATAGTGGGGCAGGACTCCAGTTTGGGCAGTCGGTGATCCACAAAAGAGCCTGGAGAATGCAAAGCAGCCCCTGGGCCTAGAGGGGCTTATGGACTGTGCTCTCCCCACAGCAGACCTTCGGCACCTCCTCTAGGGCCAGGCCTGCTCCATTCCTGAGCTCACCCCTCTGTCCCACACTAGCAGCTTCAGAGGAGCCTGGCCACGGCTGCTTGGCCAGTGTGGCTGAGCATCCTGAGTCCCACTAGCAGCTGCCTACCTGCACCACCCCCTTCTTCCCTGGGCCAGTTCTTTGACCTGCCAGCCGGCCCCCAGCCCCTCAGCCCGAGAGTATGCCTTCTGCCCAACCTCAGCCAGCCAGCCATGCTGGGTATAAGTCACCTCAACTTGGAGCGACTGCAAGAGCGCACTCGTGTGATAGCCAAGAGCTTGCTCCCCAGCTCAGGAATCGGTAACCTTCCTCATTTCAGGGGGACCAGCTGCCACGCAGACACATTCACCCTGATCTGTGAGAAACTCAGATTGTTTTACAGGGATCCTACGGAGCTTACCTAGAATTTGTTTTTCGTGTAGAAAAAGTTACCTAACATAGCTAGCCTGCATCAAATACTTGTTAAATTACCTGGTGTTGTCTCCCATTATTTTGCAGAGAAATGGTGCCCTGCTTGGAAACCATGTCAATCATGTTAATAGTGATAGGAGAGATTCCCTTCAGCAGACCAATACCACCCACCGTCCCCTGCATGTCCAAAGGCCTTCAATTCCACCTGCAAGTGATACTGAGAAACCGCTGTTTCCTCCAGCAGGAAATTCGGTGTGTCATAACCATCATAACCATAATTCCATAGGAAAGCAAGCTCCCAGCTCAACAAATGCCAATCTCAATAATGCCAATATGTCCAAAGCTGCCCCTGGAAAGCGGCCCAGCATTGGGAACCTTGAGCATATGTCTGAAAATGGGCATCACTCCTCCCACAAGCGTGACCGTGAGGCTCAAAGAAGGTCCAGTATTAAAAGGTAACCTTTAAAATGTGTTTGCACTTGGTAATGTAGTGTCTGCCCAAGGCAATTTTTTCTCCCCTGTGCTCTGGCACACACGGGAGATTCCCGGGAGGCATTTGCACTAGAACCTGGCAGTACTGTGAGCTCACAGCCTCGTCAGGCACTAGCCAGTGATGCACCCGGAAGATAAAGGGCCACCAGCCATCCAAGTGGGATGCCCCCTGAAACAGCAGCAGTTACAGGCTCTACCTTCCCCAGTGATGCCAACATACTTTGCGGCAGGGGTTGGCAAACTTTGTCTGTAAAGGGCTACATAGTAAGCATTTTAGGTTTGGGGCACCATTCAATCTCCATCGCAGCCACTGAGCTCTGTTGTTGTAGACAGAAAGCAGTCATAGACCATGTGTAAACGCATGGGTGCAGCCATAGCCTGATAAAACTTTATTTACAGACACTGCAATGTGAACTTCATATAGTCACATGTGATGAAATATTTTTATTCCTTTGGGGTTTTTTTTGTTTGTTTTTTGCAATCCTCTGAAAGTAAGAACCGTTCGTAGCTCATGGACAGTATATGGCCTATAAACCATAGTTTGCTGACCTCTGTGCTAGGAACTAGCCTGATATCTGCATTTTAAATTTTGTTGGAAGGATTTAACTTTTATCTTCTCCCTCCCTCCCTCCCATGTTATGCTTGTCCTGGATAGAACCCGCTATTATGAAACTTACATTAGGTATGTGCTCATTGCGTTTGTGTGTTAAATACTCTGTGTCGTAAGTGTGACCTACCAGCCTCTCAACACTGAGGGATGAAACTTCCCTAGAGGCAACTGCTTGGGCCTGTGGACTCCAGGGGCAGAGGTAGCTGCTGCTTTCTAAGCAAATGAGCTTTGAGGTCCATATGTGTGTAGACTACACAGTCTGTTACAGCCAAGGATGTGCTGGTATTGATGTGCCACTGTGCCCGCAGGCCTCATGATAGCATAGGGAGAGCCCACTGTGCACTTCCGGCTGCCTGGCCCCAGGAGGCCGGCCAATGCCTGCTGCTCTCTGAGTTCAAGCCTCTTGTGGGGACTTGATAAGAAAGTGACCCCAACCTCCTGAAGACCAGGGACCAGATCTTCTCTGTCTGTCCTGGAGCCC